CCCCCCCCCCACACCCACCCAAGTCACTGATAGAGAAAGCATTAGGTGAAGCCATCCTGATCCACATGAGCTGGGAGTTTCGCCATCTGCCACTGCACTTCTTTTCCTTCAGCGTTGCTCTCATCACTTGCTCCTGTCATGCTCAGGGCCCCTGTCAAATTGTGCTGTCATCGGAGGCAGGAGTCCATCTCATGTGTGTAGCCAGAAGATAGTGAGAAAATTTAACAAATGGACGACACAGGCACTAACCACCAGAACAGAATCCTGGAGGCCTTTACAGTGCCGGGGGTTAGGGGGGCTCCTGCAGGAGGCGCTGAGTGGCTAGGAAGGGGTGTACTCAGGAGCCTGGGGCAGAGATTCTGCCAACCGGCATGGAACCATTTCAATATTTTAACAACTGGGGTGGCCACACCTGTGTATACTGAGTGATTGATTACGCACTTGATGATCGAATTTCTAATAATGATGTTGTCTACCAGGCACTGTGCTAGTCACTTTAGAGACATTATTTATGATCTTTATAAAGTTCAGAAAGTACATCTCATTATCTCTCTTTACAGATAAGGGAACTAGGACTCTGAAAGATCTCGTCGTCACACAGCTATAGGTGGAGAACCTATATAACTCTACATAACTCTAAACCTAGAGTGCAGGGCTCTGGGACTAGGTGACCTCATTCTACCTATTACTTGCTGTGTGACCTTTGGAAAGTTATTTCACATCTGAGTAAAATGAGAAAATCATGCCCTAGTTTTGTAACATGTGCAAGTTATTCAACCTTTCTGTGCCTCAGTCCCCTATTATGTAAAATGGAAATAATAACAATACCTAAGGTGCTTACTATAGCCCCCAGCACCATACAGGCACTAAGTCAGTCTACTTACGGTTATTGTTAGTACTGTACAAGTGCCTAGTTCAGTACCCAGCACATAGTTAGCACTTGTTGAATTTTAAACACTTTTTCTACAACACCGCATAATAGGTGCTTAGTAAATATCTACTGACTTGAAACAGCATGACCACTACTATCATCAGGACTTCCTCTAATCCTGAGACAACAAAATGGAACATTGAGAACTCATGTCTGGAGGGCATGGGCTCTTATGTTCTGCAAGCTTTATC